TTCCTTTGGAGAGCAGTACTGCACTTGTTTTTCTAAGAGGCAATATTATGGATTATCATTTGCTACTAACTTAAAAAAAGGGATTATAAACAAGTGCTTGGAGTGGCATATTAAGAACTGCAACTCCTCAGCCTTGCTGTCTGCTCAGCTTTGCCTCTTAAGTCTTTGGGCAAATAACATTAACCCTTCCCCATCTCACACTACAAACTTGTGAAGCAGTCACTCCCACCTGAGTGCTGAGTTTAAATATGCATTTTTAAAGTGCTTTGAGATTTGCAGGCATGCCTTACTCTAAAATGGTAGATATCTTCTAGACAGATTCATGGGCTGTGAAGTATCAAGGAAGAGAGCAAACACTGAGGAGCCAGCAAAGCTAATAGCTATAGCTTGGCTATGCTGGGGACTCCTACAATTACAGTTTGTTCTTTTGATCATCCTCTCCAAACGCACAGAAAATGTCACTCATTCTCACAGCTGTTCCTGTGCTCATACTCTCCCAAAAAGACCACTGATGTCACTGAGAGCCTAGCTGCCTCAGGGTGACCCAGACAGGGCCATGGCAAGGCCCAAACTCCTTAAGATTTTCTCCCAAATTCCCATGCTAGCTGTTCCTTGTGAAATGGGAACAGAAGCAGCCCGTGAGCTGTTAGAAGCAGCAGTTGGGACCTGGAGCTCCTTGGGACTCTCACTTCACCGTGAACAGCTTTTTCTAACCAAAACTACTCTTTCTTCTCAGTTCATATTACATGAGCACTACCCTATACAATATTCAAGCAGCTTTTTAAGAAGTGCTGATAGTAATGAGACTGGCTGTTCTGCAGGGCAGGCAGGAGAAAGCCCTTCAGCCACTCACATCTCCCCCTCATATCGCAGCACAAAAACAGGTAACAGGCTCCCTAAAATGGTGGCTGCATCCATCTCACAGCTTCTCCCACCGAAGTCACAATGCTTGCCTCATCCTTCACCTCATCCCTCCTTCGCATCATTTCAGTGCAGCAGCAACTGCCCCCACATTAATCCAGCCATACCTGGCTGCCTGGCTGTGCTGGAGGAATGGGATGGGGTGGGCAGTAGAGTGCTCAGGCAGAAAAGGTCTCCTTATTTCAGATGGAAGTATCCTGATTTATACAATCAGAGACAAACGCATAATCAACCTTGCTCTGATTAATTGTTGTGGAAATGGTAAAGAGCTATCAATGCAGCAACCAAGAGAGCTTAAAATTAAATATAACCTGCAGGAGGGGAAGAGAGGATGAGTCTTTGAAAACACTTCTCTGAAGCAAAACAGGAATCTATGGGAAGTTTCCTCTCCTCTCCCCAGTCCTCCAGCCTGTGCAGTGAAATGGGAGTTCCTGCCTTCCCAGATAGAAGTGCTGCTCGCCTACGTAGGATGAACAGCTGGGACCATCCTGCTATCACCTCCCTGCTTTTCCTCACCGCTTTAAAATTAGCATCACTGTGATCAGGTGGCAGCAGAAGAAATGCTCACCCACCACTTGCCATTGCGTTCAGAGCTGATCACTAAAGCAACACTTGCCTCCAGGAGCTGGGGAGTTTGCAACACCTCATATCACCACCAGCCCAGGGCCAGGGCTCATCACAAGAGCAGAAGGCTCTCACCCATCCAGAGAGCTCCCACTGCTGCTGCTGGCACCCTGGCATGTCTGCCTGGGCTCGCTCTGGCTCTTGGTGTGAAGCAGCCGGGGAGACAGAAGTGACTCTACAGACATAAATAGCATAGCCGGTCTGAGCTGAGGAAGATGATTCAATGAGATATTTTGGTTGCATTTTTATGAAGGCAGCAAGACTTTCCAAAGAAGGTATTTTTAGTGGGTTGAGACCCATGATACTGATCAGGAGGCACAGAAGCTGCCAGTGCCGGAAACCTGTAGAGTAAAAACGCTTTGAGGGAGTATCCAGACAAAGTGCGAAGTACAAGACAGAGAAGAGCTTCTTGTAAATGTGGAGCTCTAGCAACTTCCTTGAGCAAATTTTACTCAGAGTACTCAGCAACATGAAGTGTCCATTCAGCCCTTCCTGGCTCATCCTGATAAATGCTTCATTTCTGGTTTAACAGCAAATTGAAATTGATTAAGCCAGCGTTGATATTGTCCTACAAGTTACAGAGAAGCTAAATTCATTTGGGATAAATCCCAAGAAAGAGCAACACTCATGCATGCATACGCACAAGCTATTTAAAATAGGTTCATCTGGGATGCATAAAACCTGAAATAATGTTCATTAGGACTGGGAAAGGAAACAGTATTAATCAGCTCTAGGCTTCTTGTTACTCAGCGGAAGAAAACTTCAGCCAGATAATTTTTTAAACACACATAAAATCCCAAAACTTTTCCTTGGAAGAATTACCCAGCTAACTTGCCATAAACATGAGGAGGTGGCAAAAAGGCAAATGAAAGGGGTTGGGGGCTGGAGTATTATTATTTTTTAATTTGCATTCAACAGGAGAAAGATTTATGCATGAGATGCAAATTGCTATGCGTTATTTACACATCTGAAGAAAAACAAATCTTGAATGTAAATGCTTAGAGGGCATATTTTTAAATATGAAAGTGGTAAAATTATTATAATGTTTATAACTCCCACACTGTTTAAAAGAGATTAAATTGGGGAAAAATGAGCCCTTTTATTTAAATTATAGAGTCCTCGCCAAATATTAGGGTAGAAATCAAATACAAACATCTGTGTGTTTCCATTCTTGAGAGTCTTCCAGAGCAATTTGTTCACCTTGCAGTTGGTCCTATCCAGAATATCCCAGTGGGTTACCAACTGAAGGGGGCAGTGGCCATTTACAGTGTTTCTGTTTCCATCATGAAACACTATGTATGCCTTCAGAAAATAAAGAAACAAGAATACCTTTATAAAACCAACTCCAGCTCCAAAAAGCAGTCCAGCTCAGGTGGTGGGATATATATGACTTGCAGTAGACCACTCCTGAGAATGAGGTGAATAGAATCATCATAGAATAGTTAGGGTTGGAAAGGACCTTAAGATCATCTAGTTCCAACCCCCCTGCCGTGGGCAGGGACACCTCACACTAAACCATGCCACCCAAGGCTCTGTCAACACGGCCTTGAACACTGCCAGGGATGGAGCATTCACAGCTTCTCTGGGCAACCCATTCCAGTGCCTCACCACCCTTACAGTAAAGAACTTCTTCCTTGTATCCAATCTAAACTTCCCCTGTTTAAGTTTTAGCCCATTACCCCTTGTCCTATCACTGTAGTCCCTAATGAAGAGTCCCTCCCCAGCATCCCTATAGGGCTCCTTCAGATACTGGAAGGCTGCTATGAGGCCTCCATGCAGCCTTCTCTTCTCCAGTCTCAACAGCCCCAACTTCCTCAGCCTGTCTTCATACGGGAGGTGCTCCAGTCCCCTGATCATCGTCGAGGCCAACTGCCCGCCCTGTTCCAGCCCTCCCTAGGGCGGGTTTTCCCTGCTAAGGGCGGTGCCAGACCGCCCCCTGTGAGTTCCTGCTCGCCTCAGCGGAGCTGCCGGCTCCTGGGCAAGGTCGGGGGGCTGCTCGAGGGTCCCGTGGTGGCTCTCAGCTCTCAGAACTGAGGCTCCTGCACGCTGTGTTTGCCCTCACTCCGATGCTGAAGGCTCCTCTCTGGAGCTGCTTACCTCGGGAAATGGCCCATGTAGAACTGAAGTCTGCCGTGACAGAGCAAACGGAGCTAAGAGACCAGTAAGAAAACAGCAAGAATGAGAAAAAGATGAGGTGAGAGCAAATGATGGCTCTTAGAAGATCCAGCACTGCTTATTTAATGCATATCCACTGAACTGTTTTACAGTTCTCTTTGGAAAATATGAAGGATCTCTAATATGCTAGCACTGCTCAATCATTCATGTATTCACTTCTGCAGGGGAAAAGCTATTATTTCTGTTTTTACCAGGAGAAAATCAAGGTAATAAGACCTGGGTTATCAAACCCATTTACATGCTTGACTCCAGCCAGCTTCTAAACTCTTTGATTATCTACACTGCAGATACTCATTAAAAGGCAAAGAGATTTAGTTGTCTTCATGTCCTTGCCACTTCTGAACAAGTGACTCACAATGCAGCCAACCTCAGGGGCTCAAAAGTCATGGGACTAGACTCCATAAATAACCATTTTAGCTTGTTTTTTTGACATTGTGAGAGTTGGATAGGGGCTACTGTTTTCCTTCATCTGCCCTTTGTGAGATAGACCTTAGAGTCACGTTTCTTTCCTCACAGCACATCTCCCTAGTGGGAATGCTATAGCAAGACCTGACTACACTAAAACTGCTGTTCTCATAACACAGGGCCACTGCCCATGGCAATTACTCTCAAATAGCTCGGCCCATGGCACTGCATTCCATAGTAAGAATTCGAATCCAGGCCATGTCCGGCAGGAGGAGGAGCCTTCCAAGCACATGTTTCACAAGCAGAATCAAAACTCTCACAAAGAACACCAAAAACTTGTCAGAGAGCTCCTACCCATTCAATCAGGCCAGGGAATTTCTAGTCTGATTAAGAGTGGTCAAAATGAAACAAAACCCAACTGTTCCCTTTCTGAGTGTGAGTTCATAAACACACTAAAAACACGTGAGAAGGCATCTACTTTTTGCAGGCAGAGACTTGGAGCAGGTTTTCGTAGTTGTGGTTTTTATGGCTATCCACATGGCTAATTCACATCAGGTTTTTGTTGATATTTTAATATTTATGTCCAGATGCCACTGTAAGCTTCCAGATGTTTTTGCACAGACATCAAAAATGTTTGCATAGCAATTACAAAAAGAAAAGAAAGTTTGAGGCAGTTTTCAAAGAACTGAGAATGACAAAAGACAAAGTGGCTTTTGTTGCTAAAAGATTTCAAGACCATTTGTTCCTCTACTAACCAAAAGTAGAAGCCAGTCTATCTACTTGGACTGTCATAGTTAGGTGCTGCCTTGGAAAAAATGAAGTTTCTGATGCCAGATGATTCCTACATTTTCTAGCAAGTGCAAATAAGTAGATACCTTCGCAGGTCTCCAGAGGGTGATTTATCCATGTAACTCAAACACCCCTTCAGTCTACACTGACTATATAAGACTCTAGATATTCCTGAGATTTAAACCACAAACATTTCTTTGCCATAGAGAAGAGACTGAAGGAGTAGGAGCTGCTGGGCGCTTGCTGCCCTTGGGATCAGTCCTGAAGCAGTGGCGATGTGCCTTCCTGTGTGGTGTCACAGCACAGTCCCTCAGGACACCTCACAAACACCCTGGGGAAGGAGGTGGAGGTGAGTTGCCTGCCCATCTCTGCTTTGACTGCCCCCCAGCACTGGCTCAGGGAAAAGTGCCTGTTGCACCAGAGCACCTGCTTCCAAGCAACTAAAATAGAGCCACCAGAACACATTCAGGCTAATCAGGAAATTTTCTAATGCTTCCAAGCATTTGCAGGGAAAGGACTCCTGGAAAGTCAGTGGGCTGGACTGCAGATAGGGCTTCTAGGTGAGATGGAGTCTGGGTAGGGGTTAGGTGGGCCTAAACCCTTCACAAGTTATCTGTGCTCTGGCAGTTGTAAGACAACTTCATGCTTCCCTGTGTTTCTGTATGTGTTGGGGAAAAAAACACCCAAAAGCAAACATAATCCAAGTGCCAAGTGTGGAGAAAAGAAGCAAAACCTTTCTTGATGTTGGTAATTGTATCATATGCTCAGAACAACACAGTGAAAAAGGAGCTATGTTAGGCAAGAGTGAGAAGATGACTGAGAGGAGGGATTTGTTTAGCACCAACACTCAAAGTGACAGTCTGGATGCCAAGTCCAGTTGTTTCTGGGAGAGAAAACAGGCTTTCTCCCTCTTTGTGCACTCCGAGTACTTGCTGAAACACATATTTTGTCCAACAAATAACCAATGGAAGTTTTGTCAGCAAGTTCAATGGGCCATGATTTTTCTTTGGCTAGGAATGGGTGGGCAGGCTGGCAGCAGCAGTATCAGTCCACTCATGAACTGGAGTGTCCCTGGATTTGCCATAGAGCTCTGCGGAGACAGGGGTGGGTGGCAAACGTCACTGCATGAGTTATATTTGTATAAAGCCAGCTACAAGTGAAATTACACCATAGTCTACTTAGGGAAGGATTTTTCACTGAGAAACAAATATCAAAGTGTGAGAATGTTTATCAGTATTTTCTGCAATTGACCAAGGGTTGGAAGCATAGATTTACACCCTAGACAGCAGTGTGAAGTAGAGATAGCCAACTGCTTTAAACTGGCTTAGATACCAGAGGAAATATATCTGCAGCAGTGTTATTTCAAACCACCACTCAGTTAAAACTAGCTGAGCGTTTCCTTCAGTTACCTTGTAACCTGCAGTATATTCTGATGCTATAAGGTGAAGAAAAATTGCAGAGAGGAAACAGCTAGGAGAACATAAAGTAAATTTAGAATTATTTTTCAGAAAAATATATCAGAACTTGGTGGAGAAATGATTTCCTAGGCACAACATTCCTAGTCTCAGCACAACTCTTTAGCACAAAAATTATCTAAAAAGCAAAACAAAGGAAAAAATAATCTGATTAGCATCATGAAATCCATGCAGCCATTACTCAGCACTGCTACTGCCAAATGTCTTCTTGAGTCTGTAAAACCAAGCACAACTCCAAATGTAATATGCAACCTTTGAAAGGCAAAACAAAACTAACGAACATCTGAAAACTGTCTCTCAGGTCTTTAGCTGCTGAGAATCACTATGGTTTCCTTTACTCCAGTGGAGCAATGCTCATATACGTCAGCTCAAAAGCTGTACTGAGTTGCACCAGTCATTATACCCACTGGAATAAAGGAAGCTCCTAGGACCAGACCACAGCCCCTCCTGTAACTGGTGATTCTCACGCAAATCAGCTGTCTTACCTATATTATCTACCCCAAAATTTATGTGCTACATCTTGCACATGTAGCCACCCCCTGGAAGCTGTACTTACTGTAGTCACTGCTAGCAATAACTATGAAACTCCATTTTATGATTCTCAGCAGCAGAGCCACATAATTATGCTGTTCACCTTTTGTTGCTTGGCATTTGCTGATGATTAGCCCAGAGTTAAGATGACATATTTTTTCCATAGCACCAGATCAGAGCAAGGTGTGTTTTCTCTCTGTTTATTACAATTATTTTTTTACCTTCCCTGGAAACATCAGTCTTTGATCACTGTTAAGGACTGATTAATGAGCAAGATGGACTTTTGACGTCCTCTGGGAAGGCAATTCTTATTATTTTTCAATGATGACATCTGCATTCCACTTTAAGGGCCTCTTTCATCACACAGTAGTGGCCAACAGACAGGTCCTGGAAATCTTTATTTGTCATATGGGAAGCAAGACAAAACTTTACCTAGTCATATAACACTACTCTGCTTTGGTCTTTCCAGTGCTCCCTATTTGTCATGGCAAGCAGTGTTTGACAACGGCTCAAATGCAGGGGATGTGCACATGCAGGGAGCCTACAAAATCATGGGAATAATTCATTTAGTCATGTTCTTTTCCTGTGTTCTTTTCCTGTGTTTTGTAGTGTTTCTAATAATGAACAGGTTTTTATCAATGAAAAGTAAGTTGCACTTTAACATCAATAGCCACGAGATTAAAGTGACTGGAGTTCCTTTAAATAAAGGACACCAAGGACGTATGGGACTCATCTTTAGTGGTGCATCAGATTACCCCAACTCTTCCTCCCCTTTGACTTTGCCAATTCTAATCAGGAGGGTTGTGATAAAAGAGGCTGAGGCGTACATGGTCTGGGACAATAAAGCTGCCTGGAGAGTTGCATGAAAGAGGGGAGCCACATTTCTAGGCTGCAACTGAGAATCAAGTCTCTTGATCAGGAATATACCCCAGCTGTATCAAAGCACTGGTGTCTCTCTTCTGTACTGTGACTCTCAGTGGTCATTCAACTGTGTCTAGCATTTGGGGTCACTGTGCAGGAGAGTGTGAATGCCTGAGGTACAGCCTGGGGCACAGTGGGTCAAGAGGAAAGAAACTATGCAGCCCTCTGTTACAGCCCTGTGTGATTTGTCTCTGATTTTTTAACAGCTGCAAAAAGGCATTTCAAAACTTCCAAACAGGAAAAAAAAAAGAAAACCAAGAAAGAAAAAAAAAAAAGCCAAACCCAGCTTTAATTGCAAATAGTGGCATAAAAGCTGTGGCATTCAGTCAGCCTTTTTCCACCGGGTAGTAACTTTACTGGCTGTTTTTAAAAACTATTGCCTTGCTCTGTTAGACTCAATACCTGTCACATGATTAATGTGCTGGTGTCTTATTAACTCCTGTGTTAGAGGTGCTGCTGTACTCACACATCCCCCCTTCTCTCCCCCCTTTTGCAAAAACCTCATTGCACTCCTGCTGCTCTGACTGGAGGGTACTGCACCTTCCGACAAAACATCATAAAGAGCAAAGAATTACTGTTTCCCACTAATCCAGGCCATAAATCAACCCTCACGTTTTGTTCTGAGAATGGTGAGGGACTGCATAAGTGCTTCCTGTGTTCACATTCACAAGACAGGCTGTGTCTTCAAAAAGAAGAAAGGGAAAAAAGAAAAAGGAGGGGGAAAGAAAAACCAGGAATGGCCAAATTGTTCCGGAGTCTGATTGATCTTATCTGGACCTCCCTTGCTGCAACAATAATTTGAGGCTGTCGAAAATTGCCACCTTATCTGATTGGTGGTCTTACCAGCTGCTATTTTATCAGGGCCCAGCTGGATGAGGAAAGCAGGACGTGGCACAACCTTGGTATCTCAGCGCCTGACCTCAATATCTAATCAGTCAGATGTCTCGCTGAGGCTGCCTTGGGATGCTGTGCATGTCCCCTCCGGCACCAAGTCTTTCAAAAGACATTTGCTTCACGCTGGTGCTAGCCCACCAGCACACACACACACACACAGAAAAAAATACACACACAGAGCATATTCCAGCATGTCACCACCTTGCCTGCTAGTGCTGTGGCACCTGAAAATTAAGGTGCTTTTCTGTAAAACTTCAACAGACTTGCTTCTGAAAAGCTTGGTTTGCAGAACTGCCACCAAGTTAGCAACATTTCAGTGTCCTGCTGGCATTGCAGGCAAGGCAAAGCCAGGCTTCCATCTCATCTCGTTGGTCTTATGCAAGCTTTACAGTATATGTCAATCAGCACAATTAATGTCACCTATAGAATGTCATACTGTAGGCTCTGCCTCACAGCATGTTCTAGGAAAAGTATGGGTTTTGTTGCTTCAGACGGGAATTTGAAGGTCAAAGTTTTTATCCCAGCTCTGATGGCCATTAGCTGCGTGACTGGGGAAAACCATTCCACCTCTTTGTATTCAGATATGGAAAGAGAATTATACTTGCAAGCCCCTCATCATACCGAGGTCATACAGGGGATGTCTGTTAGCCCCAGATCTTTTCCCCAGTGCTGAAGGGGAGAAATTCTCCTTCCGATCCATTGGAGGGACTGCCCAGCGCCTATGGTCCTCTGCCCAAGGGAACAGTAAGCAGATCCACCTCCTGACCATCACCAGCCCTGCTCTTCCTTTTCTCCTTCACACTAGGGCTGAAGGAGAGCCTCTAGTCACCCAGGCATGCTTCTGTGAGAAGAGTGCCATTTGGGGCAGGTCCCTGGGTCACTGCTGTCCCCTCCTCTCCTGTCTGCTCCATCTTGATAGTGGTGAATGTTGCTCAAAACAGCAGTCATTGCCGCAGCTGTGCGCTGCCCTGTTCAACAGCTGTGGCATGAGCAGCATCTGAGGGAGAAGCCTGTGCTTGAGCCACCTGAGATAGCAGTAGACCAGCAAGGAAAAAGGCTGCAAGAAGTGAAACCTGATGCATAGAAAAATTAACCATCCGAGGAAGAGGAGATAGCATTAACGTGTCATTTCTGAAAAAGAAGATTTTGATTTTCTGTTTCAATATTATGGCTTTTAATTCCTTTATATGCTGACATTTATTATAAAGAATTTTTAAAAAGCTGAAATTAGAATCAAAGATTTTGATTCTGTTAAGCCTTTGGTATGACCCTAATTTCCTTTTCTTTTTATGTTTTTCCTGGAAAATATTATAGCTTTATTTGTTCCTGCTCCATTTACAAAGAAATCCTCCACAACTGCAGAATTTCTCACAAAACAGCAACTTAATTCCTAACCAGCTCTGTCCATCAGTTGTGCTGCATTCAGTGACTACTAACAGAGGTCTTGGATATA